AAAATTGAAGTCAATGATTTTGGGTTTTACTTTAACATTTTTGTACTTTAACATTTTTTTACTGTACATTTTTAAATTTGTTCAACTTTGAAACCCCCAGTATCTTTTGATTCCATAGTTCATACTTCCTAGTGTAAGTTTGGTCTAATTTCTATTGTTGGTCTGTCACAGTCTAAAAGAGTTGGTGAGTTTGGGAAAAGAACATTATTCTAAACCAAAAAATACTCAACCAACAAAAATGCAACAGCCGGGAATCGAACCGGGGCTCGTCGATGGCAACGACGAATTTTACCACTAATCCACAGGCTGTTGTTCTGTTATAATGAATAATGTTGTACGTATTTATTGATAATAACACGATGCCGTAAGTTTCTAAGGGAGGTTTTTATATACTGAACCAAGGTGCATAATGCATAAGGTTGGGTCAGGTGAGTTAGCACAATAGCATATAACGCCCGTCGGTTCCATAGTGTAGTTGGTTATCACACCAGACTTTGAATCTGGTGACCCGAGTTCGAATCTCGGTGGGACCTTTTTGATTCAATTGTCTGTTCATGTAAACTCTCTGATACAAATCTAACTGAACTTGTTTTTTGTTCAGTATAAGCTATAAACTCTCTGGTACAAACCTATCAGCCCCCATTACTATTTCATACGGTGTATTTTATAGTAATTTAAGCATTGTAAAGTACTGCAGGTATCCAAATTTCAAATTCTTCAGTTAGCCCTCTGCATGGGTGTTGGATAACGCGTGCTAAACCAATTAGATTAGGGTACAGTTTCCTTGGTACTACTCTCTAGCTGGGACTTTGGTATATAAAACAAAAAAAGGTCCCACCGAGATTCGAACTCGGGTCACCAGATTCAAAGTCTGGTGTGATAACCAACTACACTATGGAACCGATGAGGCACAGAGTGGTCAGAACGACTACCAAGCCAAATTGCTTGTGATGGAAATACTAAAAAACAGACATGGAAACATGAACCCTGAATTAATTATAGCCAATTTATTTAAATGAACATTACAGTACCATTTTCTGGCATATACCAAACACCCATGTTCTGCTCAGACATGTCTGTGATCAAACTCTCCACTTGCTCTGGTGAAAACATTTCCTCATTATTATTCACATTGACTCTTTCCATGATTTCATCAAATGTTATGCTTTCCCTTCCTAGATTGTTAAAGTGCGATCTAATTGCATTGAGCTGCTTGCGGAACAAATCAATTCTAAATTAGTCTATATCTACCTGTCTCTACTTGGGATAGCAGTTTGGTAGCTGTCTGGATCCACCGCCATCTCTTCCTGCTCAGTCACATTCTTTGGAACAGAGCTTGTAACATCTGAAATATCTGGATCAATCAAGCTGGACAAATGTCTGCTGGATTCTTTACTGTGCGAAGAGACAACAAGAGATGGTTTGGTGGCCCTCGAGTTGGTAGATCTAGAAACCAAACTTTGCCTTTCGTAAATAGTACCATCATCTGAATCGCTATCACTCCCATCTCCTACTTTTTGCTTCTTTTCTCTTCTCTTTGGTTTGACTTCTTTGAACAATGCAAACACTAGAATTTCGTAAGCTACTTCAGCATCGACTTGCTCAACTTGCTTGCTCAATCTACATTTTGCGTGAGCTGTTGCCAAACGGATCAAAGTTTCAAGTGTACGTGGAGTGATTGGCATAGTCTATCGTCAAAAAAACTTACCCTATACTTGTCTTCAGTACCATCAATCTTTGCACGCAATTCAGAGTACTGTAATGAAATGTAATCGGCAGCTTCGGGAGTCAACACTGGAACAACTCTGTTCTTGGCATAGTACAAGTATTTCTTGAGGAATGGAATTGAAAGAATTTCGACATCGTCCTTCTTTTTTCTTCTGCTAGTTGGTCTTCTAACTCCAATGTGTAGCAGTTCATTGTACTTTTCAAACACAGTGGTGTGTTCATTTTCAAGATCATCGCTGATTTTGCTTTGTTTCAAGGAGTGAATCATTGATTCAGGAATTGGAGCTCCTTCTGGCAATCCAGGGGGAACGTATCTGTGGAGCCTAGTAATATGTTCCGAAATGGCTCTGTTGAATTCATCATCAGTTTTATCCAAAACAACAAACACCAAATCAAAACGAGACAATAGTGAATCTGGCATTGTAATGTTTTCGAATGGTTTCTTTTCGTCAAGATACTAGAATTACTAATTATTTACACTGCCAAAGGCTGGGTTAGCAGCCGCAAGAACACTGCATCTTGCATTTAATGAGGTATGGATACCAGCTTTTGCAATTGTTACGGTTTGCTGTTCCATCACTTCGTGAATAGCTACTCTGTCAATATCACTCATTTTGTCAAATTCATCGATACAAACCACCCCACGATCAGCTAGAACCATCGCACCGGCTTCGAGACTGCGCTCTCCAGTTTCTTTGTCTTGGGTAACTGCAGCTGTTAAACCAACACCAGAAGAACCTCTACCAGTAGTAGCAATTGCAAGTGGTGCAAGATTCAATACAAAGCGCAGCATCTGTGATTTGCCAACGGACGGATCACCAATAAGCAGAATGTTAATGTCACCTCTCAAGTGAGTTCCGTTTTCTAGATTCTTTTCTACACCACCAAGCATAAGTAGTAATAATGCTTTTTTGATGTATTCATGTCCGAAGAGAGATGGGGCTAAAGAATTAGCAATTAGTTTGAATGCATCAGGCCTCTTTGCAATTTTTCTAATTTCCCTAGTATCATGTTCAGTCAATGTAGGGTTGGAAATCTCCTTGTTGAGCAACGTTATATTGTTGGCAATAAACAGAGTTCTAAATAAGAAAAAGGTTACCCAAAAGTTGCAGACATTGAAGCAGCATTCTTCCCCCTAGTTCGATAAGTTCCAACCACAGTAACGCGATCTCCAGGTTTGACTTTATCAACCAAATCGTCATCCAACATGACATCAATTGGTCGAGGCATTTGCCCAGCCAGTGCTCTTTCTGGCATCTCTTGAACATAAATCATTTGGAAATCTTTATATGTAGAATACCCAAATTCTGTTTCAAGTGGGTTCCCATTATCATCCTGAGATCAGATCAATAATACCTCTTTAGGATATACGCTTCCAGTGGGCATATCGTTAGATACAGACAATCCATCTCTGTAATCTCTAGCCAAGAATAGCTTGGTAGCTTCACAGTAGTGTACACTGCGAGATACTTTGGGACGAACTAGCGAGCCTTTGATTAATAATATATACATCTGGTAACAATCGCTTCCAAACACAAGGTTTTACCCAAAAATGAAGAATTCAAGTTTCTAGGAGAAATATAGTTTTCACCAAAGCTGCCTTCAAATCCAATATAATAAGATGGCGGTGCCATTCCAGGCCCAAGCGCGACCGTTTGTAATGTAGCAACAATTTCCTTTAATGCAAGTTCAAAAGGAGGAAGAAAGTCGATTGGTGCATCCAGGATACTATATAAATCTACATTTACCCTTGAGCGTATTCTGAATTGTATGATCGCAAGTGATTCAAGTTGACGATGAGTCTCTTTTGTTCCTTTTCAATCATTGTCCTGATCTTGTCCATGTATATGTTATGCCCATGCTATATTAGCTCATAGTTACATCAAGCGAAAGGAATTCTTTGAATACCCTCACTCGCTCATTGAATATTTCGTCAGTGCTCGAGTAATTCATAGATCAGAATTTAGATTTGAAAAAAGTTTAATGTCTGGACTTTTGTCTGGACAGACAGCAATTATTATGATTGGCTATTATCTTTTCCTATTTTCGAATTATTTGATGATCCAGGAAAGGAATTGAAGCAGTTCAGGTTGAATTCGGGTATCAAAAAGAAAGTTTAGATTAACTGGGAAATCCTGCTTTACGAACGTTTTATTTAATCCTCTGAGGCAGGAACTTCTTCCTCCAAATATTTAATCAACTTTACTCTGATTTCAGTAGTTGGATCTCCTCTTAGAACATCCTGAACAAAAGAGACTTCAGTTTCAATATGTACCATCTCCAAAGCCCCTCTAATTACACCGCACAGCACATTCGAATACCACAATTCCTGAATCAGTCCATCTGGTAGCTCAACAAATTCCGCCAAAGGGTTTTCATCCAGAATCAAGGAAAATTCCTTATCGCCAGACCAGTTTGAGACTTGCGGAGTGATTCCGAGGTATATTTTGAATCCAACCTTTATTAATTTCAGTTACCTTTGCAATTTGGTCTGCTGTTTCTCTGAAATCAACGCATTTTGGGGAAGCTGTTTTCGCCAAGTAATCGTCAACCAGCCGCACCCCGATATTGTAACCCCTACATTAAATAAAAGTACATTTTCTCCAGTTGTTTGTTCATCAAAGCTGGATCTTCCAAGTCTTTGTAAAGCTGTGCAACCAGTGATCCGTAAGTCAGAATAAAGAGCTCTGAATCCTTTCATCAGCAATAATTACAATCTTTTCCGTTTTGTTTTTCCAAATTTCGTCTCCACTAAGTTTTGGAATTTTCAACATTTCAGATGTAAAAGTTTTCCAAATGATTTGAATATTTGATTGATTGCCAGTCTGTCTTGATCTTTTGATTGCCACATAGATTAGACTACTATTGGCGGTCTGGGAAAGCTATAAAGGACCGCTGGCAGTTGGATACATGACCCAGTTGAAAAAGATAATCCAAACCAACCGCTATTGCGAATAAATACTTTAAATACATGGTTAAACTTTTTAAATTTTAAATTCACTTTATCACGCGAATCTTCGCGCTCCATTCACTGTAAATGTCAACTGAACCGCTAAGCCCAGCATTGACAATTGTAAACTCAATCCTATGGTCACTATTTGGTCACTATTCACAGCCATTTGATTGGATTGCCCTATATCTGTGGGTTATTAACGATTTTACAATTTCAAATAGCGTTATTCGGTCATTAGTTTTAATGCCTGCTTTAAGATTGCTAGGAGTAAAAGGAATTAATTCTAGGATGCGGTTTGGGAAGGTATAGATACCTATGACCAGTTATATAATACTACCTCTCCTTTTATGCAATCTGCGTTGCCTTCTCCACTTTGGTATGCCGGTGAACTTGTGGGGGATATGTACCTACCATTAAAAGCCACGGCAATAGCTGGTGAAGATAGATATTCATTTTTTATTATATGGGGTACCTACTCTCTTTTAGCCCTTGGCAAAATTGGACAAGTGGTGGGTAGGTTCTATCTTTGGTACAAGTCGCAGTTCAACAATTCGCAAGACACTTTAACATACTATACAAACACCTTAGACATATATATCATGTTTGCCGGAATGATTAACGACTATGTGTGC